TGGATTACGATTTGGGTTATCAAAGAGTTTTTCTTTGGAGCTTGTTTGAGAGAGATTTTTTGGGGAAGAATTGATTTTGAATAGTGATATGATGTGAAATGTGTAGTTGAAAAAGAAGAAAAAATTATTGATGTGATGGAAAATATTATTTTATTGAAGAATGTGTGGTGGAAAATGAGAATTGATTTACTGTAGAAAAATTTAATTCTTCCCAAATAGGGCCTTGGTTTCTAATTTTATTCATGTACTAACACACTGCAGTTTGTCCTATCGCCCAAAAAACCATGCCCAAGTAACCATATGTCCCTCAATGCGAAGCAAAGATTATCAAATAATACTAGGAATACTTCAACTTACAGCAACATAGTGCTGCATAGTTGACTTGCCAGTTTCAATCACTCATCATAAGACAAAGCTGACATTACATCTAACTGGTTTTTAGGTATCTATTTTTTAGTTCTTCTGATTTGAGCAATGGGGGAAGGGGGCACATGGTTACCTTCGAACTATTGCAATTACCTTAAAATTTTACTTACTGACTCTTAGGGCATGTAGCAAGTGTAGATCTTCGCAAAAAGGAATGTATATCAAAATTTGCAATGGTGATAGGGGCAAAATATTAAATTGAAGTCGGTGAAAAAATAAATTCATTGGCCTGAATTATACATGCTTCATATAAATTTATATCCTAATAATTTATATACCACCTTTGCTCCTACAGTGAGAAGTCAATCCTATTTGTGTAGGGCTTATGCAAAATTGAATCCAATACTGACCATTGTTTCATAGCTATAACAGTGTGAAGAGAAGACCAGCATTTGGTGATAAACTTCTATTTGTTTGGACTAATCCAAAATTTATTAAAATGGTAACAAGCTTCCTTTTGCCATAGTTGTTGAAAATGGAAAAAAAACCAATTCCGCCTACGCCAAGTTAAGTAAATTTCGATAGGTCGTAAAATTCAGTTTTTAGAAGATTAGAACGTAAACAAACCAAGTCCTTTCGCCATGGTTGGCGAATGTCTCTCGCAAAAAGTTTGTTTTGTAAATTCAGTCTATCATTTCCTGATTTTATTCTTTATATGGTTTAAGACACATTGTTTCCAATCATCTATGACCATCTTCAAGAAAAACAAGTATCAACAGTTCAGCCCAAAAGGATATCCATTTTTAGGATGCTCCGAAACAAGTATCTTTCACATGCAGGTGAGTACAAAACGTGCTTGAAATCATGGATAACTTGGAGAATTCATTGTTAGATGAAGAAAAAGTTCGATTACATTGTTAATTCACATTATTGTTCTTGTCTTGATTTTCTTTCTTCTTTAGGCTGATTTTCTTTAGGTATCACTGCTTATGGAATTACACTGGGGGAAATTTATCAATTATGAATATTATGAAAAGTAACTATTCTATTTGTCTTTTTGTTGATATGTTTGGAATATACATAGAGCTCTGATTTTCGGGTAGATTATTATTGCGTACTAAATGTACTAAGGCTCCGTTTGATTGGCGAAATTTTCCAGGGAAGTAGGAAAATATTTTCCTACTTTCACTTTTTTGACTGTTTGACATGCAAAATTTTTCACGGAAAATGTTTTCCTCCCTTTTTCTAGGTACAACACATTGATGCACAAATGGTGGAAAATATTTTTTCACCTAATAGGTGGGAAAACATTTTCCACTTTTTTTTTTT